TAGCTTGGCTGGACCTTGTTTGACTCAGACCAAATAACTAGGAATTTGGCCCAAATTGTTCGACAACTCGGACTCAACGTGGCCGAGTTCTGTCCCCGAGTCGTGGTTTCCAACACTGTTCACTACAAACTTCTCATTTCAGTTGGTGCATCATGCAAGAATGGAATCCAATACTTCAACCAACCGACTCAAAAGTTCCAAAGTCATCTCTCTCTCTCATGGAAATTATGCTTGAAAGCTACAAACATGGAATTTTTATTTTGTCATCATTCAATGTTTGTTATCATTTGCTTTCTTTTTTTCTTTTGCCTCTACTCTTGGTATCCATCACTTTTTTGACCCCTTTTTGTGATGTCACTTGTTATCATGGCTCCAAAATGTGGTTGGGATCGTCATGATAGCACTATTTATACCTTAGTTAAGGTTGAGGTTTCTATTTTCAATTAATGTATGAAAAATCATTAACGATTTTAAAAAAATGGGTATAGATTCGTCATCCTCACTGAATTACTTCAAAAAGTATTAACGATTTTTAAAAAATGAATATGAACGCGTCATTCCCACTAAATTACCCCAAAAAATAAATGTCATCATACCCATAACATAGAAACTCAGAGAGAGAGACAAACGGCACAGACAAGAGTAGAGAGAGAAGAGAAGAGAGAGAGAGGAGTAAAGAGAAGAGAACAGAGAGAGAGAGGCAAGTGGCAAGGGCAAGAGTCTCTATGCAGTCATCCTTCAAAGCAAAGATGGGGATGACTTCTTTTTCTACGTGTTCTTTTAAGCCACTTCACCCATTTACAAAAATGGAAAACGTATTAAAGATGTATTGCAATGTATTTTATATTATATGTATTGCATGCCATATTATGTTATGGATAGACGGCTGTGATTCTTTGCTAGATGGATTTCTGGTCGTCCATTTTAAATGAATACTATGTTGAAATCAGCATAAAATTCATTGAAGATTTGAACTGTTTTTGTGGCTTTAATCGACTTAAAGCCCATGCCCCACAAACCTGGGGCCTACTCAAGTTAAAAATCATAGCCTTGGCTTGTGTATAAATATCAAAAATACCCTCAGTCATTTATGGTTGAGTGAAATTTTACTTGGTCTTTTTTTTTTTTTCCAAAATTTGATATTTACTTTTATCTTGATTTTGATTGAGAAAAGAGATTCGTGTTTTGACCTAAATTATTGTTGGTGGTTGAAGAATAAAACAAGAGGGCAAAGACAAAGTTTTGGTCCAAACCAATATTAACAGGCAGATTACTTTGTTCACACTTCATGGTATTGAGCAAGGTTCTAGAGCTCGGCCCGGGCTCCTGACTCGGTCCTACCCGAGTTAACTTGAGCGAGACAGGGTCCTTAAAAAAAATTAAAACGAATTGTTCAAAACTTCAATGAAATTGGTAAAATTCATATTAAACCTAAACCAACATAGAAAGTCCAAATAAGCCTGAAAATTATATAAAAATATGAATTTAGAAAAAGATAGTTTAGGGTTGGATAATTTTTTTAAAAAAATATAGAAGAAAATATAAAATAGGACATATGGAAAATAATCTAATTTGCATATAAAATATTTATGCCATGATTTCATAATTTAATTACAGTTTTATGATTTTATTTTTAAGTACTCCAAGTTTTAGCCAAGTACTAAGCTCAGCAATGTACCAAACCCGAATAACTTGGCGAGTTTGAGTCGACTAGACCGAGTCTCAACAAACCATTACAGTAAATATAGATTCTTGTGATTATAAAATTCACCATTTTTGGGGGAAACTTTCAACCAAAATTAAGAAAATTTTGTATACTTTCACAGGGATTGATTGATGTTTTTATGATTGTATTGCTCCATCCTAAGTGCAAGTTGCACCAATAGACTACCCAAAGAAAGGTTTAAAAAAGCATAGCAGTAAATCGGATTGACCACCCTAAAATTGGGTCGAATAAGTGGATCAGCCACCCCAATAACTGGGTCGGATTAATGGATTGCAATCCAGATCAAAGAAAGGACAGCTTTCAGCCTAAAAAAAAATTCAAAAAATGACTAAACATCCCATAAAAATAGTTGCTTTTTAGTTTTAAAAAATAATTAGGTGCGGTGCATTATGTATTTGTATTATTTTACAAAAAATATCGTGAATATTGAGACTTCGTTTCCCCTATTTGGATGTTTGTTCACATCACATCATTGAAAAAAAAAAACTCACAATCATCACAAATATAAATACATGTTCCAAAATGAAACGTACAACAATTGAAATACAACCTAATACTACAAACATAACCATTCTTCATGTATGTTCAAAACCAGATATGATTCATGGCAATATGCCCCTCAATATGCCCCTAGTGAGAAACATCAATTAAATTATTTAATGATAATACAAAGATTGATAAGAAATGTTCGAACCAGTAAAGAGACTACATAATGGCTTAAATTCATACCCTGGCCCACTTTTCGTGTGTGTTTTTAAGCACGAATACAATAAAAAAAAGAGCAAATCACATACAGATACTATTGGGGGTGGTCAATTACCAAACATGCACTCATTTGCTCGAAATTATGAGTACCAAATGTGTATTTCTTTCAAGCCCCCCAGGTTAGTGGACATTGCCCTCACTTAATAAAGTTCTAGAGAAGCTTGTCGACTAAAGCTCTCTTAAGCCATACTTTATCTTGTGCTTAAAAAATTCCCATACTAACAAACATCATCATTCAAACTTTATTTCAATTAATTAGGGTTGGCTATATAAATCATGTTCCTCCATTCTTCATAGATTTAAGATTTATGATAAGATGTGAAAAATTTTTATACTAACACATCCCACATCTCCTATACCCGGGCTTGGGAGAAAATTCCAAAGTTAGTTTGAAACACCGTTTAGAATTCTAACAATAGCTTTGCATCCTTGTCCCGTGGTAAGAATCAATATATAATACAAATGCAGAGGCAAATACCAAGCCATGACTACATAGCCAAGAGAGACATCAACCACTAAACTCTTAAATAGATAGTGATATTACTGAGTTTCTCACATTTCGTTAGGATAATCACAAGTCATGAGGCTCTAAAGAGTTAGCACTAAGCATGTTAAGATTGACTATGTACAAACACTAACTAGGGGTACGGTGTTCAGCTCACTACACCCAACCTAGACCTGGCCCAGCTTAGGACCCCGAGTCAACCCACTTATAGGGTGGGCTGCATGACCAGACAGTTAGACCAGGCCAGGCAACTGCCAAACTAGCAAGCATTGAGGGATAAATTAAAACTCGCCCAAGAATACTAGCTAGGTTAAGCGTGCACAATGTACTTCCTCAAAAGGAATACATTGAGGAAGCCTTAGGGAACATAGAAGATCTACTACCCAGCTTTGCCATTCCGAACTTTGCAACAAGTTTGCCATGAAAGGGGATCTTGATTTTCATATTAAGGCTTACCTCCTATCAGTGCTCATGCTGAAGGACAAGCCAAGCCAAGCCAGCTTAAGGCCATATTTTCCCACAGTCTCTCAAGAGACCCTCTTGATTGGCACTCGAGTCATACCGTAAAACTCCCCATCCTTGAAACCCAATGAGATGATTCAGAAATTCGTCTCATGTTTCGTGGATCAAAAGCATGGCCGGTCACGCTAAGGCAGTTGTCAACCATGAGGCAAACCCCAGGCGAACCCTTCTCAGATTACATCGCCTGGTTCAGTACCTTGTAGAGGCTTAGTCTTATCAACTACCTACTGTTGTGATTCTATTTACAGTAAATTTCAAGAGATCCTTTCCAGATTTTTTCATGTTATTAAGGCAGCAAGCTTTGTAGGAATCCTCTTTGGTCTTCATTTTTAATGCCAAAATATTGAAAAAAGAAATCAGATTTTCATGTTATGAACCATGACCTAGATTATGAACCACTTAAAAATTTGGATCCAAATCCATCATGGACTTTAGAGAGGGGACGTACATCTACAATATGAGGTAGAGGGCTCATAGAAACCCCATTTATGAGTTAAATAGACCTCTTAGGCTCCTAAGACAATGATTTCAAACCATTACGGGTGTCTGCTTCTTTATTTCAAAAATTTTAGGTCTAAATGTGGAGTCAATTAACACTAAAGATAGTGTTGAGAATTAACAACAAATGGAAGCCACGTCAAAAATAGGAGTTTCTCACTTTTAAGAAACAAAAAAGGATACTTTAGATATCTCATGATAAAAGGAGGGGTATTATAGGCAAAACCTCTTTCTCTCACTCTAAAACTACGTGTTCTGAAAGCAAATCCTTTCTCTCTAAAATCACTCAGTTCCAACTCTATCTAGCGTCACCTCTCTCTCTCTCTCCACTAGGGTAGCAATGGATCCGATTATACGGATCCTAAGGGCATATCCAACACTAGTTTTAAGTGTGAATTCAAATTTTGGATTTGAATATTATCTGTATCTGTGCTTGGGTCCAGCCAAACCCAACCTATACCTATAGGCATAAAGTATATGATGGCAATCATATATCTTTAGAGACTAGGTATTTAAATTAAAAAAAAAAAAACAAAAAAAAAAATAAAACTCGGTCATATAAAGTGGCAATGGATCTTGACTAGACCCTGGACCCAACAAGTAGACCCGAGACCCAATGCATCCAAGTACGAATCCAGATTTTGAACCCAAATGCTCTTCAGATATCAGTCCCATTTGGACCCGACCAGTTGCCACCCCTCATACTAGTTGCCACCCCTCACAAGATCCGACTAGAGCCTGAACCCAACAGGAGGACTCGAGACCTAACACGTCCAAGGACGAATCCAGATTTTGGACCCGAATCCTTTTCAGATCTCGATCCTAGTCGGACCCGACCTGATCCCACCCGTCACATGCTTCGTGATAAAAAAAGTTGGCATTACAGGCCAGCCTCTCTCTCACTCTAAAACTACGGGTTCCATCTTTGAAATCAAATCCACTTTCTCTCTCTAAAACTAATATCTCTCTCTAACGTCACCTCTCTGCCTCTCTCTCCACGATGAACTGGTCCTCCTCTCTGTTTCCTTCTCTCTCCCCGCAACGTCACCTCTCTCTCTCTCTCTCCATCCCTCTAAAAGATTCCATCTTGATAGATGAAAGCTTACAGAGACATTTCCATTGATAATGGTTTCCACTTGTGCCGGCGAGCCGGCTTTTTGGGGCATTTCGTTTCTTTAGCTCTTGCTTCAGAGCAAGGGAACGTTCCTCTCTTTGCGGTCAATTCCTTACAAAATGGGCTTTACTCAATCGAACCCACTTCTTATAATCCTCTGCAAATCCATTTTTGCAGTGGAAAAATCTTTGGCTTCTTTGGGTTTTCAGAGTAAGCTTCAAAAACCCAGAAATGGGGGATTCAGAGGAATTATTTCGGGAAGATGGTTTCCACGTTTCTTCAGACCCCATTGTGCTAGAGCTCAACCGGTTGGAGAACCATTTGAAAGGTGTTTAATAGCTTCTTACCTCTGTATTATGTTGTTTTGCATTTAAATGCATTGGGTCTTCTCCCCCTCTCCGTCTCTCTTCATTTTCATTGTGAGATGTTTTCATTCCTCTTGTGGGTTTTACAAGAATCATGGTTTTAGCTGAAACTATGATTGGTACTACCATAGTTTTTAGCAGTGAATTCGTAGTGGAACCTGCTTTCGAACGAAAGTAGGAGTAAAACTTATTACTTTCTCTATCTTCTTTTTTCATTTTGAACTGTTTTACTCTTCTTTTGGGCGTTACCAGAATGATGCTTGAAGCTGGAATTATGATACAGTTTGAACTTATTCAGTTGCTTAGCAGTGAATGCAGTTTGGAGCTACCATGTTTTTGAGCAGTGAATTCATTTATAGGGGAACCTGCTTTTAGAGCAAAACAGGAGTTTTTTTTTTTTCAATGGTCTTTCACTCTTCTCTTTTTCATTTTGAAGTATTTATTTCGTCTCCTGGGCTTTTACCAAAATGAAATTTGTAGTCGTATTTCTATGAAATATCTCAAAGTTAATTTTCCCCACTGATTCACCCCCAAAAAAAAAAAAACAGTTTGTAGTGGTATTTGTGATGTAATTTGGAGTTTTCATGTTGTTTATCAGTTTATAGTGGATACTGCTTTCAGTACTAAAAAGGAACTCTCTCTCTCTCTCTCTCCATTTTGAAATACTTGGTACTTCTTCTCGTTAAAACGCAGTTATGTTCGTAGCCATGATTATAGTCTAAATTACAGTTATCATGTTGTTTAACTGTAGTTTGGAGTTAATTATGTTGTTTTGCAGTGATTTCATAGTGAAACCTGCTTGTATTGCAATTATCTCTCCTCTCTCTCCCGGTCCCCTTGCTCTTTTTCCAATTTGAATTATTTTTTCCACTGGGTTATTACCAAAATGATATTTTATCCATAACCATGATGTGATTTGGATTTACTATCTTGTTTAGGAGGAATTTCATATTGGATCTTCACTTAGCGCAAAATGAGTGTTTGTTTTATAGAATTGGTATAGTAGTCTGATAAAATATAACTTATGGTACACCTTAAGGTTGGAGATAGGATGACCGATGCTTTTTTTTTTATCTGTTAATCTGAATGAGTTTTTGATGCTCAAGTTTGGTGCTATGAAAAATTGCTACTCAAATTCCATGTTGGTCCTTCGTTGACCATTCTCTCGTCCCATTTGTATGCACTACCACTTCTTTCAGAGCTGCCAAAATGAGTTGTAAAGATTACGATCTAAATTGTTGTACAATTTGTTCATATCAGTAATACAAAGGGGCCCGACCCATCAATTCTGGGTTAACTTAGCCAAAATATACGACTGATGAGCTCATCAGTGTTGATCCAAACAGCTAGAACTGATGACTCAGGCTTGAAGGCATCGTATTGGGGTTTTGAACGTCTACCGATGGTTGGTTCATATGTGGTTAAATGATACTTATGGCAATGATGCATCTTCAGTCAAGCACCAACCAACCAATTGATTATGTTTGCCATGAACAATTTGATTGTGCAATTGAAATGCTGGTTTTCTTTTTTGGGTCTCATGTATTATTTGAAAAGAGTCCTGAGTAAACATAAGTAAGATTTCAAAAAAATCCAAAGAAATGCTTATGGAGTTTTATTAAGAAGATATTGAAATGATATGTACAGGCAATTCCTAAATCCTAGTTTCTGAATCACCACCAGTGACCTAGCTCCTGGGCTTTCAGTAGTTGTTCTGAGAAATTTAGTTTTTGCAGCTAAATATTCATAAACATGCAAGTTAGTATAAATATACATTTTTCGTTTAAAAGAAGAAAAAAAGCACTCCTTAGAGTTGATTTTGCTGAATCTATATGTGTAAATTCTGTTCAAATTGAAATCAAAGAAAAAAAATAAAGAGTCAATATTTCATGATCATAAAAAACTAAATCAACCCATTAGTTGTAAACTCCTTGGGTTCCATGTTGCACGAAAATATATATTCATAATGCCTTTGCATCTGTAAGGTGTACTTGGTTCCTTGTTGGCACAAACATCAAGGTGTATATTAGTACCTACAGTTTGTATTTATTAATGGGTGACATTTTACTTGAATCATACACTCCACAAAAGAATTCAGATTGAGTAGATTCATTCTCCACACCTACTTGTTTCCTCTTGTTTATCAGGGCATCCTCTGCTTAAATGGCAAAATTGAAATGTCTTAACCCTCTTGGTTAATCCTGATAACTTGTAGATAACGATCGAGAATTGGGAATAGCTCATGCTGAAATCAAGGCCTTGAAAGTGACAGAACGTCTGAAAGAGAAAGCAGTGGAAGAGGTAATCACATATTAATAATTTCCTGTTCTTTCTTAACAAGAAGCAATGTCTCCTTAACAAGTTACAAAACTAATTTTGCTTATTTACTTTGGTTCAGCTCAATGATGATCTGAAAAAACTTGATGAGAAACTTAGATTTACTGAAAATCTTCTTGAAGACAAGGTCAGTTACTACATGAAAATATAGATAATCATGTTTTCTTTAATAAATATTTATTTCTATTTATATCTTATATTTGCAGAATCTTGAAATAAAGAAGTTGGTTAGTGAGAGGAGAGATGCATTGGCAGCACAATTTGCAGCTGAAGCAACTCTTCGTAGAGTACATGCAAATCAGAAGGATGAGGATTACATTCCACTTGACGCTGTCCTTGCTCCTATGGAGTCTGAGATCAGAATGTGCCGGAATGAGGTACACAGCTATGTGTATGTGTGTATGTGTGTGTGTGTGTGTGTGTGTGTGTGTGTGTGTGTGTTGTGTGTGTGTGTGTGTGTGTGTGTGTGTTGTGTGTGTGTGTGTGTGTGTGTGTGTGTGTGTGTGTGTGTGTGTGTGTTTAGTGTGTGTATGCATGTGCACATGTGTGTGTGTGTGAGGTCTCATATGAAATTCTTAAAGCTCATCCTCTTTTTTTCTTTTTTCTTCCTTTTGGATCTATATTTGTGAGGGAGAAGTCTCGAATACTTGGAGGATATCTTGTGAGAGAGAGAGTGTGTGTGAGAGAGGCACCTCACATCGAGCACTTAGAAGTCGTATTCTTCTTTTTCTTTTTCTTACATGTGAAGAGGGAGCATTTGGGGCGATTTGTATCTCTGTGTATGTGTGTGTGTGTGTATGTGAGAGAGAGAGAGAGAGAGAGAGAGAGAGAGAGAGAGAGAGAGAGAGTGTGTGTATACGTACGTACGTACGTACGTACTCTTCTTCCTTCTTCTTCTTCTACTGTTGGTTAGGTAGGACGACGACGACGACCGAGACGAC